TATAACGTCTTAGGGCACCTCAAAATTGCTTTCTAATTAACCAACAAGAAAAGACAAAGGTTTTTGACTTTAGTCAAACTGCAAGAAGGCCATCACCTTGCCAAAAGTGTCATCTCAGTTGCCGGAATAAAGGCATCCTTTCCAAACACAAATTTCTGTCCCAGCTTTTGTGAGGCAGAAGCTGGTAGATCTCTGTGAGTTCAAAGCCAGCCTGGTCTACACAGACAGTTCCAAACTAGCCAGGGATACAAAGTAAAATCCTGCCTCAAAAAACAAAACACAACAAAGAAACATTACTTTCTCCTGAAATTCTTATGCCATCTGTAGAGAGAAATTTATGTTTTCCCTTGTTTTATACTGTAGACGAATCAATTTATAATTACAAACTAAATAAAATATACAAAACATAACCCTCCAACAGCAAGTCAACTACCATTCCTTTATCCTTGCATTTATTATAGAATTATTGTTCATTTATTGCATTAAAAAAACTATGTGCAATGGATCATTTGAAACAATGAAGAAATGGGAATTGTCTGGGATAAGGCATAGTCTCAACACTGTGCTCATACATTCATCAAACAGGACCAATCCTAACACTGAACTCAAGTTGTCCAGATAGGGCATCCTGGCATTCCTTCATCTCTTGCAACATCCCAAGAGAGCCTGATCTCTGTCTCCCTGTCTCTGCTGCACCAGTTCACAATTCCAGACATTTAACAAAGGGGATAAGAGAACAGAAGGAGGGTAATCACAAGACCTGAGATATCTCAGCCTTTGATTTTATAGCTCTCACATAAACTTAGTATCTGGCAGAAACAGAGCCACTGCAAATTTTTCTAAATTTTGAATTTCTCTTCTGTAACACAAATCTTAAAAGGTCTTATTAATAATAACAATAATAAATCTCAGAGCCAGATATTGGGGCGAAAGCAGAAAGATCAGAGAAACAGAACAAGCCAGCCATGTTCTTACGACTCTATGAAATCCTCAGCCTCAAGAGAGAGTTCCTGTTTACTCACACCTTATACACCTTTCTGTGCCCTGCCATCTTACTTCCTTCCGAGTGCTGGGAATAAAGGAGTGAGCCACCACTCCTGGCCCTGTTCCCAGTGTGGCCTTGAACTCAGAGAGATCCCAATAGATCTCTTATTCCCAAATGCTAGGATTAAAGGCATGTGCTACCACTGCCTGACCTCTATGTTTAATATAGTGGCTGGCTTTTCCTCTGATCCCCAGGCAAGCTTTATTGGGGTGCACAACATCATCACACTCTTCTTTTCCTTTTTGCAATGCTTGGGATTGAACTCAGGGACTTACACACACATGCCAGGCAAGTACCAGACCAATGAGCCACATCTTCTGTCTGTAAATGTTGAATTTTTCAAGCAATGTCCTACTTCCTACAGAATCATTGTTGTAATTTTACAACATAGATTAATTTCCATCTCCTTGGAAGTAAACAAAACATGAAACAAGTTTACATTATGTAAAGCAAATAGATGTCATCTACTGAGTTTTAACACACAGACAGTGGAAGTTTTAAAATATTAAACCTTATTCCATTTAATATCAGCACTAAAATAGCTTAACAACCCGCCAAAATTTCAAGTATGCTTTCAAAAATAATCACAAATTTAAATTGTATTTCAGTGCACATAGAGACATTAATATCTAAAAATTAGTTTAATTGCAAATAGGTACATATATAAATTTCCCATCATCATATCTTTAAGAATTACATTTGACAAAATTGTATTTAAAAAATGCTGAAATACTAGTAGAGTTATACCTGTACTAAATAGAGTGCTTTAAAAAATCGGACTGAAAATACTTACCTTTTTTTTTTTAAAAAAAAGTGCATAAAAGTAAAATGTTTCTGATAGGGTGAAAAATAAACTATTATCTTTCAAAAATCAAACTGCATTTTGTTGACATAGTAGAAGACTTACTAAATATGCAGAAAGTGGCATATAGTTAAAAAAAGGAGGCTTTCCTCGGGGACCAAGAAAGCAAAACTCACCAATATTTATCATATCACTTGGGCAGATGATCAGAGATGCCCATCTGCTCTCACATCCATCTGGCAAATTGTCTGGGAAAAGACCCCTGTCATGAGTTTGGAATCGTGTTCCCAGGAGAGTCATTCTAGTTTTAAGAAGTGGTACTTATGAACATGGCTTTATTGACAAGCAGAGTCTGGGCAGACAAAGTCAAATTGAGATAAAACTATTAGGGTGAGTTCTAATCCAATGACGTATGACCCAGTAAAAGAAGGAAGCTGGAGCAGGGGCATGAAGGAAGACAGCCTTGTGAAGACAGTGGAGTTAGGCTACCGTGAACCAGGGGGCTTCTGGGACTACCAGAATCTGACTGGGGTGAGGGAGCTCTTGGCCTGAAGGCTTTGGAGGGACCATGACCCTGTTACACCTCAGCTTAGAGTTGTGGGCTCCAGAACGGCACATGAAGAGGTTACTATTATTTTAAGCCATTGTGAGCTTGTGGGACTTTTTATGGAGGCTCCGGGAAACTAGCACATTTTCTTAGTCATCCTATGTGAGAAGTACAAAAGATGATTCAAGAAAAAAAATGGTATCTTTAGCCTGTTTGGGGCTATAAGTTATCTCACACATGATAAATAGATCAGTGGGTTCTGAATTTGCACAATTCCTAGGTTCTTTCTCCTGGGATGTTTGATATCTAATATGGGCATGTTTTTTTTTTTTTTTTTTTTTTTGGTTTTTCGAGACAGGGTTTCTCTGTGTAGCTTTGCGCCTTTTCCTGGAACTCACTTGGTAGCCCAGGCTGGCCTCGAACTCACAGAGATCCGCTTGGCTCTGCCTCCCGAGTGCTGGGATTAAAGGCGTGCCCGGCGGGCATGTTTTTTTCATATCCCATTGAGGTAAGATAACTCAATTATCTGGAGGAATGAATTTGTCTCTTTATAGGAAGACATTCAAATAACACAAAAGATTAAGTGTATAAGCAAATAAATACACTTTTTTTTCTTCTGTGTTTGACAGAGTTTGATGTGTCCTAGACTGGCCTCAAACTCATTCTATAGCTAAGTCTAGACCAGTGTGGATTACATAGTAATACCCAGTCTCAAAAGGAAAACAACCTTAAAAAGCCATTAAAGAATATATGATATAACTAATACATTATTTTGTTAAGAGTAAATTCTCTTCTGGCTTTAATTCTTTGGTGAAATTAAAATGCTTTCCTAATCAATACTGCAAGCTACATTTATATTCCTAGTAAAGACAGAAAACACATGCTGAAAATGGAGATCCCTATTATATCCAGGAGTCTGGTTGGTTCATCTGTTTAAATATATATAGCCCTTTCACCTTTCCGAGAGTTAAACATGAGCATAAAATTGTTAAGTTTTTAATACATTGTACTTTAGCATAAAGCATGCACCTTGGTCTTTAGGAGAAATTGTGCTAATCTAATTCTAGACCTTACCTTAAGCCCAACAATGTAACAGTAAAAGTATTTTTTTTAACCAAAAATATCTTTCAGAAACCTTGACAAGAATCATAATTCAGGTCAAAACCTGACAAAACATATTCTCAAAAAAGAAGCTGAAACTGAATTGTGTAGAAGAAAAGATTTCAAACCCCAGGATATCTTTAGGCACATCAGAAAAATTCTAACATATTTCAATGCAACTGCCACCATCTACTAAATTTAGAAAATTACTACGGTTTTACAAGGATAGACTATTCACAAATATATTTTTTCTTTGATGTAATGAGCCTTGCCAAGGAGAGCTGCCAGCTATATCTCAGGTTAATTTAGGGAAATCCGATTTTTTTAAGATGATATTCAGAACTAAAAACACGAGACACTGATCCCAAAACCGTGTGGTATCTGTCTTCATGTGATCTGAGAGAGATGTTAGCCTCTGGGACCACACTGATCTGCTTCTTTTTTTCCACAGCATTCCTCTGTGAAATTCTCCGAGCCACCCTTAAAATGTTATGTTTCTCAGTGAGCAAATTACAAGTGCCACCCTGGAAGGCTATAAGACTTGGTCTGGAGGGATGGCTCAGTGATTAAGGGTGTGTATTGTTTCTGCAGAGGATCTAAGTCTGATTCCCAGCACACATGGCAACTTGCTATAGCTCTAATTCTGGGGGAATCTGATGTTTCTGGCTGCTAAGGGCACCAACACACACATGGGATGCACTCATACAGACGCACACATAAATTCATGATTAAAAAAATGATAAAATGAATGTTTTGTGGGAGGGAGCATCTTTTACACATCCAGCTGAACCTCTTCTTTGCACCTGAGAAAACAGAAAATAAAATTCCAGTACTTCTATCCTTTCTTACCTAGGACATGGCTGGCTGCCTAATAAGAACTTCTCATGCTCTGGATTAGTATCCCTGTAACTAGCCCTCCAAACATTTGCACCTCCAACCTGATACTCCTTACCTTTCAGGGTGCTCACTCAAGCAGTCACGTGATTGTGGGCCCTGTCTCCATTCTTACTCTTTGTTGATGTACAGCTATGCCTCAATTACATTTTTCATGGCCAAAGCCAATGTTTTAGACAGTACAATTTTGCCACCAATTTCTCAGTGTTAATTAATGAAGAAACTGTTTGTCTCTAGACAGTAATCAAAGATGTTACTAAGAGAATATACCAGTACTGATAGAGTGATGTTATGAAAACACAGTAAACATTTAAACATTCGTCAAAACAATCAGATGGAAAATACACAGCTCCTCCATGTAAACCTGCTCTTCTCATCCAGTCTGCATGATGGAACCAACTAAGACACTCATTTTAAATGTTAGTGCCATATCCTACCTATGTGAATTTAATTAGAATCATAAGGAGAGATCCCAGGCAGAGGGGTTTATTAAAAAACAAAACAACAACAACAACAAAAAAAAACTCTTTGGTGGCAGGACAGTTTATCCAATGACTTAAACTTACATCTACTTATTTGTTTACCAAATATGTGGTCAGAGGCAAGGGTACCTTCAGATTCAAGTTGTTCCAGGCCATAGGAGGCAGCTGTATTTGGGTGGTTGATGGACGAAATAGTTCTTTCCTCAGACTGGAGTGCTGGAGAAACTGTGGGAGCTTCCACAGTCATTGCAGGGGGTGTCATCGGAAAGCCCAAAACTGGCATGAATTCCTCATTTGGCCCCGTGATTGTGTCCATTAGGTCTGCCAAACACAAGAGACAGGACCTGACCCACCATGCAATCATGATAGAAAATGTTAACATGAGCTTTGAAAGGTAAGGAAGCAGTGTCTTATACACAGTAAACTCAGTACTCAGTTCAGCTCCTCTTCTCCCATCAACCCAGCTACACACAGAAAGCACCTGGGATGATACATGGCCTCAAATCATAATTTTGCTTTTGAAATTTAATCTCCCACTTATTCTATCGACAGTATAACAGATGGCGCAGAATTTTGTATAGGGCACCAAAGGCAGAAAATTTTTAAAAAAATGCATGAAATTAAATTCCAGGAATTACTTTGGAAAGAACAAGTATGCTTCACCAAATCACATGGAAGAGTCTGAACCTAGATCTGTGACTAAAGTAGACTCTCTTTCAAAGCATCCAAACGAAGCCCCAAGCTTCCCACATCTAAAGAAACTATAACAATCATAGACTCTCCCCAGATAGAATTCACACATTCCCAACTTTCTGAATCAGAATCTCTTTGCCTGTGAGCCACAGGGGAAATATATACATACATATATATGCATATATATTTAATACTTAAATATATATATATATATATATATATGTATATGTATATTTAAATTCCCATGATGGAGAGCCACAGGGCCCCTTATATTTCATATGGGAACACAAATTGGTGCAACAACCAGTATGAAAAGGAGACATTGGCCCCTAGTGTTAAATACTCATACATCCTGTGGCCAGCAACTCCACTCCCTATGAGAAAGTCCTTCACAGGTCTGAAGCAGAGCATACAGAAGAGTGATCATAATAGCTGTAGTCACAACAGCTATACCTGGAAATGGCCCAAATACAGACAGCAGGAGCACGATGAACACTGGATGAATAATGAGATGTGTTTCCAAAATGGAGTATGATACGATGGTCAGAACAACAACAAAACAAAAAACAAAAACAAAAACAAAAAACTACAGGATGCTTGGCAGTCAGAACAGTAAGCAAAGCTTAAAATGCTAAGTTCCAAAAGATTTATTTCTAGTACAATATTATGTCTTATAAAGCAAAAAAACAGCAAAAAATATGAAATGTGTACTTGTAGTAGTAAGTATAGACACATGAAACCTGGAAGTGGTGTGCAGTGAAGGAGATTATGAAAACAGAATTGATAATTGTGGTTACCAGTCAGAAGAGAGACATTTAGGGTAAGGGTTATCAGATTCCATGAAGGTTATTGTCAAGACTCTAGAGTTGAGTTTTGTGTTGTTTTGTTTGTTTTGTTTTGGAAAGAGGATAATGAGGCAGAATTAGAAAGTATTTATTATATTTTAAAAATATCTCAATGAATCTTTGCTTAGACAATGATGAAATAGATAAATGAAGAACTATATATATTTCTTAAATATATTTTCTTTCTCTCTCTGTTTCTCTCTGTCTCTTTCTCTATCTCTGTCTGTCTCTCTGTCTCTGTCTCTCCCAAAAGATTCTGATAACCAGACAGATGTCAAAACTTCATTGCCCTCGATGAAGAGAGCAGGGCACCTGAGGGTCTATGATATAGAAAGCCCTTTTCATACATTACTTCTTTATCATAACCTAAGTAGACTACTGGAAATAAACAGAGGCCTACAGAAAGAAGTTCAGCAGCTTATCTGAGGTCACAGTCTTCCAGAGGGCCAAAGGTGGCTTTAAACCCAGGTCCTTACAATTTTTAAATCCCCAACCCTGGCTCTTAGGAAGGTTTGGACTTGGAGACCAGGAGAGTCATCTCATCCTTTGAGGCTATAACGCATTTTTACAAGGAAAGAGAATTGACCATCTCTCCAGGTAGGGAACACGTGCATGCTGGTGAAAGTCCAGGTGTCTCACTCATCCCATTAACTCACAGTAAAGATTCACACTCCTCCTTCAAACACTGAACCCACACTCCCCTACTGACCTCCCATAGAAGAGGTAACTTCAAGAGGCAAAGGGACAACAGTGGTGGAGGCTGGAGTGGCCAGAGACTCCCATCTTCCGGACAGCTCAGTGGCACCAACATCAGCAGACACAGGAGAGTGAGATGGCATGCCTTCTTCAGGCTCCCCACTGCCTCTGGGAACCTCCATATTCTCTTGTGTCACCATGGGTAATATGGAGTCTGGTTCTTGAGTGGCCATAGTCATCTCTTGAGTGATGTCTTAAAAGGAGGGAAACATTTTTAAATAGACCAAATTCTTATACATTAAAGTCTCTATGAGGTCAATAAATTGAAAAAGGGCAGATAACTCTTTCAGGGACAAAGACAACTTGGGAATCAAAGACCAGGAAACAAATGTTACTGTAGCTGCTTGGGGGAGTTGTGGGGCAAACTAAGGCAGAAATAAAGAAGGAAATGTGAAAACAAAACAAATAAACAAAAACCCTAGAATAAAATTGAAGCAAAATAGGAAGATGGCTAGCTGGGCTTCTCAGACATGCTTGAATATTGGTTGAATGAGTCTGTTAAGAAACAAACTATACAAAACTAAGTCACACTAAAATCTCTCAGAAGTATTTTTCCATATTAATGTTCACATTTACATATAAAAAGGGGAAAGAAAGTTGGCATTTTAAAACAAAAAAATAATAACTACACCAACCAGTGTTCACCTAGCTTCTAGGATAGACAGGCAGAGCAGTCAGGGTATGGTGTGCACTCTGAACTTACCCTCCCACAATGTGTTAAAGGGAAAGGATCGTGATATCACCCATGGAATCCTATCCCACAGTGGACAAGAATAATGATGACACAGCCAGTTTACTTGGGTCTGAATTTTGATTCAACCACTCTCTAGCTTTGTGACCTAAGCTAACTACTGATCATCTTAAGCCTTCAGTGTCCTTGACTATTAAATGAGAACAGTATTTACCTACTGTTTTTCCTTCCTTCCTTCCTTCCTTCCTTCCTTCCTTCCTTCCTTCCTTCCTTCCTTCCTTCTCTCTCTCTCTCTCTCTCTCTCTCTCTCTCTCTCTCTCTCTCTCTCTCTTTTCTTCCTTCTTTTATTTTTTTGAAACAGGCAAAGTCTTTCTATTCCAAACATGAAACATGGTACCTTGCACAAAGTAGTTTTTCAATAGACATCTTTTTCTTAATTGTTTTATTTTTAAATATGTTTTTGTGCATGTGTCTGTACACACTAGTGCAGGTGCTCATAGAGGCCAGAAGAGGATGCTGGATTCCCTGGACCTGGAGTTACAGGTGAGCCCACCTGACGTGGGTGCTGGGAACCAAACTCAAGTCCTCTGCAAGAGCAGTATGGGCTCTTAACCACCGAGCCTGTTCACAAAACAGTAGGTAAATGAGGCAGTTAATACTGAGAGCATATTTGATCACCCAAATAGCCTGGATGTTATGAAATCTATTTTTCTTTTTAGTTTGCAACTGTAAAAGTCCAAAATATAACAATATAGATTTGCTGGTGTATTGTATCCTAGGGGTCATGTGATTTTATGTTCTAGAAACATAAGTGCTATGGACAATTGAAGCAAAATTATTATTTCATCCTATTTAAAATCCTCATGCTTACATGAGCTCAACTCAATGTCTTTTTAAAAGCAGGTTATGCTGTGAGTGATGGTGCATGACTTTATCTCAGCTTTTGAGATGCAGAGGCATGTGACCCTCTACACTTTGGAAGCCACACATGGTTACATAGTAAGAAACTGTCCCCTCACAAAAAGTTTAAATAGAACTTATAAAACATTTTCTGGAAGTATCTATGAAAATGTACACTGCTTTCAATCTTCTAAAAATGAATTAGAAACTGGGCACGGTAACACACAACTATAATCAGAGCACTCAAGAGGGAAGGTGAGAGAATCAGGCATTAAAGGCCAGCTTTGGTAGTTTAGTAAGTGTGAGTCTGAGCAACTTGAGATAACTGTCTCAAAACAAAACGAACCAAACAAACAAAAACTAAAAACTTAAATAGGCATGTAAACTATTCCATCTTACTTTTGTTATTTATCAAAAGATCACTTTTACCATTTTAATTAAATCTCAACAAAACTTTATAAGCCATATTACAAATTTGTTTTTTTTTTCTTTTCTTCTCATTAATAGGTTACTTGACTCAGGTCATAAGATTTGCATATTCTAAAACAATAGAAAATGAATATATCCACTTTTAACATAGTCTTTACTTCTGGATGCTATTAAGTGGCCAACTGCATAATAATAACATAATCCATCAACTGTAACTAGAGTTTTCCTGCCTTGCCCACAGTCAGGACAAATCTTTGTCACCCACCAGTCCCACAGCCGCTCAGACCCAACCAAGTAAACACAGACTTATATTGCTTACAAACTGTATGACCATGGCAGGCTTCTTGCTAACTGTTCTTATAGCTTAAATTAATCCATTTCCACAAATCTATACCTTGCCACGTGGCTCGTGGCTTACCAGCGTCTTCACATGCTGCTTTTCATGGCGGCAGCTGGCAGTGACTTCTTCCACCTTCCTGTTCTTTCTTTTCTCCTCTTTGTTAGTCCCGCCTATACTTCCTGCCTAGCCACTGGCCAATCAGTGTTTTATTTATTGACCAATCAGAGTAATTTGACATACAGACCATCCCACAGCAATCAACAACCAATATTAAGGTTTCACCTTCTCATGTTTTAAGATGAGGAGGTCAAAAAAAAGAAAATTCATAATGTTGTCACTAGATAATTTATATTTTCCTTCCATATTATTTCTAACCAATTTATTTTGGGGCAAATAAGGTCGGAGAACCAAAGTGGATAATATAATAGCACAAGATAAATTTTACCTGATTATTTTTGTTGAGAAATATCAAAGATGTGCATATATTTTACAATGAGGTATAAATATGTATTGTACATTGTTGTGAAACTAAAACATATACCTGCGTCCTTTATATTTTCATATGTATTTATATATTTTCATAACAAAAAATTTGAAGAATATTCAGCTATGTTGGTTTCAATGCTGTTGATATATTGACTGAGACATTTGTTTTTAGAAGCTATCCTGCAGAGGTAAAATGTTCTAAAACATCCCTGGCCCCTGACCAGGAGATATCAGAAGTAACCCTCAGTCAAAACAACTCAAAGTATCTCCAAACATTGCCAAGTATCCCAAGGAGGAGTGGGATGTGCAGGAAACTGTCCTTAGTTGAAGAACTTGACATGTGCAAGGTATGATTTTTTTTCATAGAGTAGATATGATTTATTTGAATACTCTGTCTTTGATTAAAATTTGAATAACTGTTTCAAAGTCACCATTTAAAAATAAAACCAAAGCCTAACTTAGCAGGACACATCTATAATCTCACTACGCAGGAAGTAGAGAGAGCAGGATAGTTGTATGTTTGAGGTCAACTGAACTACATGGTAAATTCAAGGCTAAAACCAAAGTCAACAAACAAATTAACTAACTAACTAACCAGCCAGGCATGATGACACACATCTGCAGTCCTAGCAATTAGGGGCAAAGGTAGGAAAATAGTGAAGTGAAGGAATCCTTTCACAATCCCATCTCAAAAAATTTTAAAAATACAATGAAAAATAAATCCAAATTAAAAGTTACCAAATTAAAAAAGTTTGGGGGTGGTTTTGTTGTTTTAATTTTTTTTACTTTCCTCTCTTACCTTTTAGCACATTTCCTAGTGCCTGATGTGTCTCAGACTCATATTGAGAGGTAGAAACTGCATTCTTTGAGAAAAGCATGGTTCTGTCCTCGAGAGTGGATGCTGTGAAGCCTCTGGCACTTGGGAACAGGTTCACACTGGAAACCTCAGGGTCTTCTGTCAGACTTGTGGGAGTCGAGGAAATTTGATGGGTAAAGACTGGTGATCTCTCTTCCTCCAGTGCAATTATCAGGGCTGTCCCCAGGGTTGTTTCTCCTTCAGGCAGCCCTGGAGTCACCTTGTTAACCTCTGTGGAAGCAGGGCTCCCCTCAATCCCTTCATAGCTCTCAGGCATTCTGTGTGGTGGCTCTGTTCTCACTTGAGTCTCTGCACTGCCTCCTGAATCTGGGGTGCTTGACTGACTCACACTCTCAAATTTGGTGTCATCCCACTCATCACTTGGGACAGAAGAAACTGGAACAGCTGTGCTGACACTCACTGTGACCTTGAGGTCCCCCAGGAGACTCTCAGCTGTTGGATCAATATTCAAAATATCCTCAGGGGTGGCCACCAAGTGTGTGGTGACAGTGGTCTGGGCATTGTCAGCTGGCTTCTCTGAGGGCGTCTCCCCATCAGACTCTGTGTCTGCTGTCAAATCAGCACCAGGAAAGGCAGTGGTCTTCTTGGCTGCATCTGTTTCAAGTTCCTCAGGTCTTGGATTGGCAGTTAGCATTTCTTTGGTATTTATATAGGATGAAGGTGTATTTCCCAAGCTAACTGCTTCCTGACTTTCAGTTCCAAACAACTGATTATCCACATACTTCAGGAAGTCACGTGTTACATCTGTGATCCCTTCTACAGTGGGCTGGGTGCTAGAACTGCTGTATGGTCCCTCCTGGTGAGGACTAAGAGAAGTAGGTGATGAGACAGCAATGATTGACATGGCCTTGGAAAGTCTGTGTTTAGGAGACATTCTTTCAAGCTGACTGGGGCCAGGCCTTTGTTCACTGGTTGAGACCACTGGCTCACTGGAAGAGTGAAGATCAGGGATCTTCAGAAGCCCAGCTCCTGGAAGGTGGTGTTCTTTGTTGACAGAGAATGCTTTATCTAATTGCATCACTGATGATCCTGCAGACAGTGCCATTGGAGCTTCAGAGGACATCTGCTGGGGCATGGACTTTGGAGCAAAGGAGATGTTTTCTTCGTCACCTGTGTCCATCTTCTGAGACTGCTCTTTCTCTGCATAAGCATGTGCTACCTCCATCTTTTCCACTTTGGGGAAAGCCAGGCATTGTGTGGCTAAGGGGAGGAAGAGGATGCTACAGAAAGCCACAGAGCTGTGCGTCAGAGTTGGTCTGCTCATCGTGGGAGGGAAACACAAGTTGAAGGAGTGGGCAGCCCCGGTAATTGAGTCCTGTAGAAAGCAAAGCATAGCACGCTGTCATGTGGGTCTATTTGTAAACGAGCTCCTTTAACTTATCCCAGAAGTACAGGGCTCTCCTTGACTTCCTCCCAGAGAAGGGACGTAGGAGACGCTTGTTCTATTTCCTTGTCCCCTTGAGACAGGGATAACCCAGTTTGCTTTTCCTTTCTGAATTCTGCAGCTGATTTAACCTAAAGCTCCCTGGAAAATGGTACACACAATGACTGGAGAAACAGCACCATGTCTAGGAGATGGAAAGTAAAGTTTACAAACACATTTAAAGAACTTCTGTGTTTCTGTGGTCTGCATGTTCGTGTCCCTGAAATTCATGAGACCTCATCATAAGGTTGGTGCGGGAGATGAGGCTTTTAGAAAATTTGGTCATGAAGACAGAGCAGTGATGAAGGAGACCAGGGTCACTGTGAAAGAGCCCTCAGATTTCACTTCCCCTCTTGTCTATCATGGGAGTCTCATAAATACTCAGCTTCTGGGAACCAGGCCCTAACCAGATACCACATCTGCTACTGCCCTTCGCTTGGACTTCAAGAGTCCAGACATGTAACAGCTGAATTTGAGGGCTTTTGTTGTTCTTCTACTGTAACTGGAGTTGTATAGAATTCCCTTCTTCTCCCCTCAGCCCCACCCCCAGTTATGGCATCTTGCTACAGTGGTCAAACTGGAAAGTATGTTTTAAAACTTGATAAATATCAAAATGTACTGAAAATCAGTTATTTTCTTGAGTTTAACAATGCATGTGAATTATTTTTTAGCCAAAATATACTTTATAAATGTTCGAACTCTTTGCAACAATAAGAAAAATTATACACAAAACTTTCATGTTTCAAAATTTTAAAATAAGAAAAGATACTTAGGCAATGAGAACATTTGTTATTTTTAAAATGTTAAATTTTCACTTCTGGCTAATTAGCTCTGGTTTATAGTAATTAGATTTTTTTTTATAGTCTTCAAACTACTCACATTCTCATTACAGCTAATCCCCCATTTATATATTAAAACAGTTCATCACCCCACAATTTAAAGGTTTGCATTTAATGCACTATCCATTGTGCTGTGTATAGCTTTTTGATTTCAAGTTATTGAAAATTTCCAAGATCCTGATCCCCAGCACAATAAGGAAAGATTGTGTAAGATTCTATAAGTTTTCTAGAAGATTCAATCCAGAAATTAAAATACAAAAATCACACCCTCATCCTTCTGAAGTTTACATTTCTGCTTTTGTTCAAGTGCATTCAACTAATCTGCCTAGATTATGCACATAACTTGAGGCTGTGAAATACAGAAACATACAGTTTCATGAGATGTTCTTCCCTGAAGGATAACAAGCTTTCACACGTTATTCCATTTTGTCTTTTATTGTTATTTTGTTTTTCGAGCCAGGGCTTCTCTGTGTAACAGCCCTGGGTGTCCTGGAACTCACTTTGTAAACCAGGCTGGCCTCAAACTCACAGAGTTCCGCCTGCATCTGCCTCTCAAGTGCTGGGACTGAAGGTGTGCGCCACCACGCCTGGCTCCCATTTAAGTCTTAAAGGTCCTTTTACCACAGAATAAGAGAAAGTCAGCTTCTTGAAGTATGATTCGATGGCTGAAGAACAAAAGAAAACTAGATTTTTTTTTTTAAATGTGTGGAAAGGAATCCACAGATTGAAGCTGAGGCCTCATGCCAACACCAGTACCACCCGGGGAACCATTGGTGAGCTGATCTTCCTGGGAAACCTCAAGTCAGAAGAGCTCAGATGAGCAGCATCCAAATCCCCAATGTATAGAAACGGATAAAGCAATAGGCATTTGCCATGCCAGAACCACTGCATTTCTAGAATGGTGAGCCACACTGAATTTTGACTCCACGGGCTTCTGGAAAATACAGGAAGAGAACCCAGCCGTGAGCTGTCACAGTGCCATGTTCAGAGAGGAACTGTATCATCCAAGATCATATAGTCAGCAGTCAATGGAAGCTGAGGCCAGAGAGACTAGGAGAAATGAGGAGATCTCGTCTATCTCTTCAAGTCACCCCACCCACCAAGATCTTAGTGAAATGGATACCATTTAGATGGCAAGAATCGGAACAATCTTAACTAAATATTAAGTTATCTCTACATAGCATCATTTTAAAAAGAGAAAATTTGGAGAAGACATTTGATTTAAAAAAAAAGAAAAAGAAATAACACATGCCAATGCATACCAACATTTGAGATATCACTCTATTTTAGATGTGCCAGAAAATATCTTATCCCATCGTCAGGTGACATACGCCTATAGAGGGTTTGCCCTGATGTCTCACTTTTCCTTTCTTGAAAGAAAGACAAATGAAAACTGTGAATCAAAAGTGTCCATGGGCAATGAGTCCACACCTTTGGATTTCTGTGTAGACAAACTGAACTAGGAAACTATATCACTATTGAAATAGACCAAAATGCCTTGATAATAACTACAGAAGTTTCTGGTTTGTTTCAGATCTGCTCAGGAAGATATACCTTCTTCTTCCATTTGCTGAAATCATACTAAACATGCTAGAGGATGGAAGGGGTGCTTTGGGGGCTGGGCCTACAGCTCAGTGACAGAATGCTTACTTAGCAGGCACAAGGCCCTGAGTTCAAGAAAAGATAGGTCTAAAAGCTTGGTCTAGATGATGCTATGCTTCTGGATAAAATCCAGAGTAGCCCAAAACATCAAGGACTGTAACAGAGTTTAGAGGGGCATGGACTAGCATCAGGAAATGATTTCTGAATTTACTTCTCTTGTTAAAAGCTGAATAAAAAGCTTCAGCTCCTCCTTTGATGAAACAGGGAATTAACAAAACACAATTTGAGCCGGGCGGTGGTGGCGCACGCCTTTAATCCCAGCACTTGGGAGGCAGAGCCAGGCGGATCTCTGTGAGTTCGAGGCCAGCCTGGTCTCCAAAGCGAGTTCCAGGAAAGGCGCAAAGCTACACAGAGAAACCCTGTCTCGAAAAACCAAAAAAAAAAAAAAAAAAAAAAAAAAAACACAATTTGAGAATCCTTGCTTCTGTGAGCGCATACTCATGTGTTGTTACCATGAAGCAAAACAAAACTAAGAATGTTTCTGCCATCTCAGCATGCTTCCTGCAAGGAGTAGAGGTACCCACACATGCAAATGAGTACTGTAAATTTGATTGTGGTTCTACGGGCTGAGAGGAGAATTTTATGGACAAATTAGATTGAGTGGAAAGGAGAAAAATGTAAAGGTTTTACTAGTCTCAACCAGCTTTCCAAGACAGAATTCTCCTTTAGGGTCTTATATCCTTCTACATCTAGAGTTCTAAATGTCTGTGTGCAGGGAAATCTGCCTCTGCTCTAAAGGCTGTTGCTTCTGTGATTAAGTGCTGGCCACCTGCTTTCTAAATCCAATTACAGCAGAGAAAGTGGGGGTGAGCCATAAGCCTTTTGTGTATCTGTGTGTTGAGGCCAGATGCTCCTTTTCTCCACTATTGCAAGTAACATCTGAACCTTAGGAGAAAGTGAAATGATGGCCTGTAGGAATGGCAGCAGCAAGCAGTCTGCCACTCAGAGAAATTAATAGATGATTTCAAGTCCCTTCATCTTCCAGGCCCAGTGCAGGTCCAATTACCCCTCTTAGGAGTTGGCATTAGACAATGGGAAGTATATAACATTAGGAAATATGAATGAAAGGAGTGACCACAGTCAGGCTGATGACAATATCCTTAACCCCACATAAACCATGAAGCCATATTTTGTGGTCTCTGGCCTTTTCTTTGATCTCTCGACACTCTACCCCCAATGTGGCTAAGTGCCCAGGAGAGAGGAAATGCTGAGCAAATACTGTCTGAAAAGCCTCAATTGTCTTTAGGCTACTCTGCTGGGAGAAGGGAAAAGGGAATATTTCACTGTGTATGAGCATCTGTGTCTCACCTTAAATTGTCGCAGTCATCAGAATACTTAAGGAACAACAGGAAGGAATGCTCCTCTACTGTTCATCCTGGGCCTCTGGGTGCTTTCCTTGCTGTGTCTCCTAATGCCGGTTAGTTCTGACAGACTAATCAAACTCCTAACAAGAAGCAGATATTAGCTCCACCCAGTTTAGAAAGCATTTCTTAGGGAGCTAATCACTATCACTTTGTCGGTCACTCCCTATCAAGCTACCCTAATGGCTTGGCTGTCCTCTAAGTAATTTGCTGCATTTCTGCCACTGGTGGGTGAGCAGATAAGCTGTTCTGTCAAGCACTATCTTTTACAGTCTTGAATAGACACAATCCAGGATCTCCTTCTTTGTCCAGTCTGGGCATAGTCAAGCCTCAGTAACAATGAAAAGTGGTATTAAAAAGCAAACAAACAGAAAACTGTAGCCTTAGACTTAAACATCAGGTTTTCTACACACTTACGTGATCAGTGTTTCCAACTGGGATGAAGAGCATTATTGCTTCAGTGTGTTACCAAAACAAAGACATGACAGGGAAACCAGAAAGCTAAACATTTTTATTATGACCAAACTCAAAGGATAAATTGAATTTCATGTCTATTATAAAAGGACCGTGAACACTGTCCTGAGAGTACTGAAGACACAGGTAAGCTGTGACAACTGGCTGATAGTCACAGAAATATTGTGAAAAACTGAGGAGAAATGGAGAGGGAAAAAATCCCTGCTCTCAAATTTCCTTTGTCTACTGGGATGATGGGGTCGTAGTGAAGCAGCAGTCTTTTGTGGGTCTGCTCTTTCTCCTTTCTATCCAAATGAACACTTGAGCTTTCAAGAAAGGAGGACGGATCCTGTAGTGACTGCTACAAAATATTCATTTGCAACTCAAACTGACAGATAGCCTTCAAGTAACAGATGGGGTCTTTCCCTGTCTTTTAAAGCCCAGTAGCTACGCAGGTCTATCTCAGACACAACTGTTTTTCTCACCCAACTTTCAGTATCATCATCAATGTTTCTCTTATAAATGCCAGAGTCACAACTTCTGTGACTCTGTCCTCCATTGTCCCTCTTGGAATTGTTGCTTCCTAACTAGATCATTCTTATAATTGCCTTCTAATTGGTGACTCTGTCTAGACTCTCCCCTTTGTAATCCATTACAGACCACTGAGGTGGCTTGTTCTTGAGAATAAAACAATAGTATCAATCAAGAGTGCCTAGTGCTTGGGTAATGCTTTGTGCCAACTTTTGTTAAGTGCACAATGGAAATGTGCCTCATTTAATCCCGCCTAGTGAGGCAGGTGCTACCATGATCCTGGTTATCTTCTGAATGAGAAAACTACATGCTTACAGAGGATAATTAACTTGTTTCGGTGGTAGCATGTAGTTTTGTTTGATCTTTTGGAGTCTTTCGGACTTCAAGGTTCTTGCTTTTACCATTCGGCGTCTCTGCCTTTCCAAGACACAGAATGTAATGTTTCCAAATGTACAACCACACAGCTGCACATCTCCTATCCAAATCCCACACCAGGACCGAGTAAATCCTCACCTTCAGGCAGATACAGCTCCCTCTTGAATGCTTTACTCATCAGCTTTCATATGGATTTTGTTTCTACCATACTAGACCTGACACTTGCTCTTCCCTGTTCCCTTATCAAGCCCTGACCATGTTTCTGACAGGTAACTGCTGCCAAAAGAACCCCCCTGGCCCATTCTCTTCCCATTTTTTTCTCAGCTTCTTTACCTATATTATCTTCCCTGTAAGATTTCTCACTCTGAACAAGACTACTCTTCTACACTGGTCTTTATTGCCTACAGTGTTAAATAGTGCCAAATAGATGGAGGAGGTAGTAAACAAATAACTGATGGTGGGGAGTAAATATAAAAATCACTTAAGAACAAGGAAAAGAGTATGCAATGTCTGTTTTGTACCAGTTTTGATAGCACTCAGTCTATCCTTATATGATTGACCACTTGGTCAGTTTAGGCTGATTTTTCAATGTGACATTTTAACAGTACCAACAAATTGTGTTATCATTTACAGTATATTTTACCTTTAGAGAGTTTCTCTCTCTTTCCCTCTCTTTCTCTCTCTCTCCCTCCCCCCTCTCCCTAGCGCGCGCGCGCGCGCGCACACACACACACACACACACACACACACACACACACACACAGAGAGAGAGAGAGAGAGAGAGAGAGAGAGAGAGAGAGAGAGAGAGAGAGAGATACAGGTAACAAGCCTCAGAGCATCAGGTCATCTTGTTTCTCAATTACCCTCTCACCATTTAGAAATCTAATTAGTAATTCTCTGATGGAGGAAAAAAATCCTTCTTTGTAGGTCTCTTAACACTCTCTTCACTTTGTGCTTTTCTTGATCCTCATTGATCCATTTGTCATTTTATCTTGTCTTATTCTAAGCATCAAGGTTCTCCTTATCAATACTATTTTATTAGTCAACTCTGGCCCTATTCATCTAGCCATAGCTCTTGGCATTAAGGCACCCCATTACAGATTCAATGTAATATTGGCAACTGTCACTGGCCTCTAAAACAGGGTCTAAGAATTGGACTGGATCCATCCTTTACTGTAAATTAAAGAGTTAGGATGACAAATGATCCTTTCAGCAGTCTGTCCCATCACAGTGGAATGACAGAGGAAAAAAGTAGCTATAAGGAGAACTTTTTCCCCCAAGAGCTGCAGCATCCCAGGCCAGTGCTGACTGAGAAGAGGGTGAGTGGGCAAGTCAACTACAAGCAAAGTGTCCTCTCCACTCTGCAGACCACAAATGAGTTCTGCATCTTCCTCCCTTCTCAAGCTTTAGTCTATTTCATGATGCAAACAAACAAAATATCCATGCTTCTCACTTGCAGAACATCACCCTATCCTTGGAAAGAGAAGCTGGCCTTGGAGATTAGAACATAACGTTCAAGTTCCAGCCGAACCTTGGAAAAATCTCCACAACGAAGTTACCACATGGAAAAAAGAAGATGAAGAGACTCCTGCTCAGCCATCATCATCACCACCAGAAGCATCATCATAAGCACTCTGTTTTCTTCAAACAGTGGAAGACAGACAAGAACCAAATGACAACACACATGAAAGCAGTTTGGGGAAACTTAAAAATCATGCAATGTAAGACAAGTGAATACAGTTCCGATGTACAAGTCCCTCAAACTACAAAGATGGGACAGTTTGCAATATCTACAGAATAGTCTATTGTGGACTATTTGTTCTTCACCTAACTTCCTTTTTCAGATTTTCAGTGCAGAATTCTCTCCTAAGCAGTTTCCTTCAGCAAGCAGTTGCTTCCATATCAGACAGTTCTTTTCAATGACCCAATTTGACACTTTATTTCTGTCCTTTGGGATTCACAAACCTCATTCACTTGGCAAGATCTCACTAGTTGGCCTTTACAGGAAAGCTGAAAGAAATTTCACAGAGTTTTCTCATTGTCAATAAGTAAACGCAATATGGAAAAATTAGACTGACCACACATATCTTAACTGAAAAAAATGAATTTTCATCTTAGAGAATAAACCCTGACTATGTTCAACTAACAAGAATGCAATGCAATGCACGATGCATGATGGCCCACACCTTTAGTCACATCACTAGAGAGGCAGAGGCTGAGTTCCAGGATAGCCCATCTTTTCATCTAGGTCTAGGCCAGCTGGGGCGACACAGTGAATAGGGATAAACAAGTTAATTTTATCATAGAAGATGAGCTCATCTTCCTCATTTTTATTCTGAACATACACTTAGTATAAAAATACTTTCATAGTGACAAATTACCAGACAGTCCAGAAGGAAACACCCACAATATATAGTCAGAAGCTCTGCATGAAAACAAAGGCAAATCCACATTTCCCTAATTGGCTCTGTTGCTGTAGCTGCCTGAGACTTAGTGAGCCTTGGGAGTTTTGCAATCAATATTAAGACTGGTCATAAGCGTGAGGTTCATTATTACAGTCTATGTAACAAATTCAACTTTATCCATAAGAGCAAATCAGTCCAGCTTTAATCTCTACTCTGAACAATAGAACCAGTGTTCTGACACTGTGAAACCTCCCTCCCGGGACTCTGAGTCTTTCTGAGTGATGCTGCTCAGGATTTGCTGGCTTCAGGGCTGAAGCTGCCAGTACAGAAGATGTTTAGCCCAGGGAGACCCACAGGAGCTCAAGAGATGACTTGTGATCAAGGAAAAACACAAAAAGAAGGGGGAGCCGTGCAATTTCTGAGCACGTGTATTGGTCCTCAGTGAAGAGCTCTTTCAGAACTCTGTGGGTGGTTTGTGAAACTTGCCTTAACTCTCCTTAAGTTTCAAAGGAAAACTTACAAAGGGAAGACATTGGAGGCACCTGAAGCAGCCTTCTTTGGTATCTTCCGCAAGAGATCTGCATTTTAATTTGGTACCCGAGTTTTCTTTCTAAGTAAATAAAAGAACGTCTCGTTTAGGACACCTCCAAATTCTTGAGAGTCCTATTTTGACTACTTTCTTGCTCAGCCAGTTTTATCTTCTAGGTGATTATCATCTGCACTGGCTGAACTCTCTCAGTGTCCAAGACGCACACACAGCATCTCAGCACCTCAGGACAATGCCTATGTGCCACGCCGGAGTACCAAGTGTAGCAAAGCCTTTTCCCAGCCTGACCTTCTTTCTAATTAGGTGACCTTCCCAAGAAGCGTCCTCCATCTGTTGTGAGGGACCCAGGAAGTCCAAGAAGACTCCAGACATCCCTGCATTAATCATTCCAATGTTTGTTTTCGGTAAAGTAGCAGGACCCATTTTGGAGGCCGCTGCAGCCCCCAATCTCTCCTCCATTGCTAGGTTTTAAGTGTCACAGGGACCCTGTGATCCATGCTTTTGTAAGGAGTGACTCACAGTCTTGAGGAACTTCTTTTCCACACGGTGGAAATGCGAGAGTAGGGAGAGCAAACGGAGCAAAGCCCACACAAAAGCAGCCAGCCTGGAAGCTCTTCCTGCACCAAGGCCGCTCCCGGGGACTGACCTGCAAGTCTGGGGTGGATACAAGTAGTGCTGGAAGTCCTCCCAGGCCTGCAAGATTCGCCCAGTGCTCACAGAGCTGTCCCTGTTCAGTCCGCGCCTGGGTACCGCGTTCCTGTGAGGGTGCAGGGCGCTCCACCGCCTCCCGCGGGGCTGCCCCACTCACAGATCGACCCTGTACCGCCCTGGAATCCCGCTCCACCCCTGCCTCTCGCCAGGTCTGCAGAAGCCAGGCTTGTCCTCACCTGTGAGCATTCAGTATAGCTGAGCGAGGAGGACAGCGGCAGCGCCGCCGGTGCTAGGCATCCCTGCCTCGACCTACGTAGGGGCCGCCCACACTCCCTTGGCTGTCTGGGATGCCAGAGGGAGGGCTCTTGGCTTTATTGTTTATTCATAAGGCTGAGGCTGAGGCTAGGGATTGGACAGCGGGTAGGTATGCCCGCCCCGGGGCAATGACAGGCGAAGCCTTAGCACCACGCCCCTACAGCTTCCACTAGGGCAACTCCACTCCCACAAGCAGCTGGATCAGGGTGGTACCCTGTGCCTGGGACACCACAGGAGACCCTGCCCCCACCTGCCCCTCTTCACGTGCTGGGCTTCTGAGGCAGCTTTTTCTGTACCTTCAAAGAGGACACCGAAGCACTGTTTCAATCCCAGCAGGAATTTCTCTGGTGCCTGGTAAACAAGGGGCATTCAGTCCCCTGCTGCGGAGTGGTCCCTTTGGGAACAGAGGACAGCCTAGTGGAGCCTCTAAGGTATCTCTTAAAGGAACTCTGAAAGAAATGCTTCTTTCATATCACTCAAGGAAGAAATAAGAGTTACTAAAGAGTACAGGTTACTGACTCTTTGCTCCTTTTCACACAAAGCAAAGTACCACGTAAGTTGCAGAACCTACCTGAGAGCTCTGAAAAGTGCTATGATCCTTTGAAGTTGAATGTTCAGGAGTGAAGTTGATTCAATGACTTAAGGCACGGATGGCCGTATCTGCCATCCTTGAGCCTCTCAGGGACTCAGTTTCCCCTTCTCATTCTCCTAATTGTGAAGACAGAAGTGTCTGGAATCTGGGGTTTAGAACAGGTCACACAGCACTTGCCCTCATTTCTGAGTTTTGTGAATTCCCTTCTTTATGATGGCCATTTTAGTTACAGTGGTGTGTGTGTGTGTGTGTGTGTGTGTGTGTGTGTGTGTGTGTGTATGCAAGTGTACCTGTGTGTGTAAATATGCATGAGTTTGTGCATGTACACACACCAACAGCTTTACCAAATAAGGAAACAAGCTCAGGAAATAATTTGGGGAACTTGGGGGTTGAGGGTTGATATATTCAGCAATCCTTTATTTAGATAATTCTCAGTTAAAATTTGAATTTCAGATAAACTGTATCTAACTTTTAAATTTAATATGCCCTGGTTATCTAATGGGAAATAACTAATTAAAAATTAATATGAAGTCTGGAGAGAAAGTTCAGAGGCTAAGATCACATGCTGCTCTGCTAGAGCACCACAGTTCAATTCCCAGCAACCACAAACACCTCACAACCCACTGTAAGTTCAGTTCCAGGAAATCCAGCTCCTTCTTGTGGCCTATGTGAGCAACAGGAATTCAAGTTGTGTGAAGACATACATTATTCAGTCAAAACACCCATACATGTAAAATAAAATGTTGTTGAAATTAGTGTTAATAAAAATAGCATCCCCTATTCAACATTTAGGCCATACTATGCTGAAATTACATGGGGTTTATCAGAAATGCAAATATCACTAGGAATCTTGCATTTCATTTATTAGATCTGTCAGTCCTGGGCTATTACTTGGTTCTAGCTAGTTAAAAATCTTTTGAGTCCCAAGAGAATTAGTTAGAGTACCCAACTTCAAAGCAAAACAAACAGTGATCATACAAATGCTAATAACCATAAAAGTTTTAAAAGTAAAAACTTGGTGTGTAGAGTGAGACTATCATGAAAATGAACAGAAAGGGACTGGAGAGATGACTCAGCAGTTACGGACACTGGCTGCTCTTCCAGAGGACCTGTGCTTGATGCCCAACACCCAGAAAAGGAAAGCTCACAACCATCTCTAACTCAGGTATGTCAGAATCCACTGTCCTCTACTGGCCTCATTGGGCAATGCATGCATGTAGTATACAGTCATCTGTCTATGCAGGCATAAAAATTAATTAAATAAAACCTATTTGAAAGGAGTAGAAGTAATTCAGAATATATCAACTCTTTAATATGATCCTCAGGTGTTGGCACAAGGGGCCAGAATCTCTTCTGGGGGTTGTTGGTCTTCTTGACAAAAGAAGTTTAAAGGGAAAATCTGGGCACATCAAAAAAGCAGAAAGCAAACAGTATCCAGACCTTTCTTTCCTTAGGACTGTTATTGAAAGAGGCCCCAAACTGTCCTCCCCTTTGGCGGTTTTTGTCTTCGAAACTTAGGCAATGTTCCAGCCCTTACGTATTACCAAGGAGGAAATACTTAACATTAGTATTACTGTATTTAACCTTATAACCACCAAAGAGATGCTCCATGGAGCCTGGAAATTAGGATGCATCTAAGATAGAAACAGTGACAGCTAGCTGTATTTTCTGTCTTCAGTTTTCTCTTAGCTTTGTGTCCAACAAGGAAGAAATAACGGCATGCATTGATGTCAGTTTACATTTTGGCGCACTGAGTGTCATATACCACTACAGAAGAACTATTTGTGCTTGCTCTCATTGGTTCACTCTTGCCTCTGTGGCCAGTTTGAAACCACTGTGAGGATCCTTTTTTATCCTCACAATTAGTTACAAGCATCCTGTGGATCTTCATCATTTGCCAAAGGCAAATCCTGGTTTATTTTTAATCTAGCTTGACCAGCCAGCACTTGAAAATGAGTAACAAGGAGCTTGGGGATTTTATACTGCTTGAAATCTGCCCCTTCTTTGATAATTTAAGCCATGAGAGTATTACTGACCACACTACTCAGCCACTCTTCTCACAGGAAGCTGGAATCAGTGTGCCTAACCACCTGAGCTCTGTGTGGGAGAATTGCTATTCTGCACCCTTGGAGCTGTTTGTAGAGGTCTGTTCCTAGCAGACATCCTCACACACACAGAAATTACCCCTCTGGTCTTGTAAACACATGATCAAGAAGTTTTGAGAAATAACTGGCAGAACTTACAGAGCCTTAGTGCTACTGTTGGGGAAGGATGCTTTTATTAAATCTGGTTGATTTTCATTTGAAATGAAACCCACAGCAAGGATTTGAGGCACTGGGACAGGATGAAAGGTTAAAAGGCATGTGCGGAAACATACCCACCTAAGGCTGCATTTACTTAGTTCTCCTCAAATCCCTTCAGATTTTATCCTTATTGGAGGTGTAGTCATGGAGCGAAGGAGAAGAAGGAGCAGGTTGGGTATATAAGTCTTTACTCTGAAAGGTGGTCTTTTCTTCTGCGCAATCCTAAAAGTGGATCCACATGAGTCTTGCAGTTTCTTCCAAAGCTTTCTTCCCTGACAATTTGATTCATTCTCCAGTGGGAGTTTCCTGGTTGCTTTTGGCATTTTAAGTTGAACTTCTGAGGAGTGGTCTTTGATGTGGAGTAGTATTTCAAGGAATATGCTACTGACTCTGAGTATTCAATGGAATTTACGGATTGTGAGGACGATAATAGTATAAAATGGTTAGAATACCTTTTGTGATTTCTGATGTTTTCTTGCATCCCAAACACTTCGAAACACTTGGCAGGACTAATTTTAAACTACTTCACTGAAGGTAAACTTACAAAAGAGTCTCTGGCGTACAGTTTATCTGTAAGATAAGTTGGTGGAGTAAAATCTGTAATAAAATGGTTTCACTTAACATACATTGGAGTGATAAATCTTAATATACAGCATTTGCTTTTAACTTTGAAATACAATGGTTTGCTTTATTTATATATCTACATTATTTAACACTTATCCTGAAATCACACAGATGAATCCTCTGGCTTCTCTAGCCTACCCCCAAAAAATCTTTTATAAGTGAAGGAACTAAATATTGCATGACCTACAGCATCTGTTTTAAACATGTACTGTTTCCCCTCTTTTTCACTGTTTGTTGACTTTAGAGCCTGAACTCCTTGATTCAACTGTAATAAATGGAATTTTGACCTTTGTCTTGAAAAGACAACAGAAGAATGTAGAGGACTGGGGTGAATGCAGAGTGAAGCAAATGTCTAAACCTGTGCCATACTTTAGAGGAATCCTTTAAAGATGAAGTCTGAGGCAGAAACATTTTCAAAACAGAGATCCTTTTTATTTTACAGCATGTCTTTGTGAGGTGGGTTGTAAAAATTCCTTTTAAAAGTCTTGATCTTCAAAGGATCATGTCTTTCATGGAATAGATCCTTTCATTCCAAACTAATATTGAAAACTATGCTCAAAATGGTGTCCATGACATATCTTTCATCTTGTGCCCATTCTTGTCTCTTTAAAAAAAAAATCAATGAACCTCAGAGTTAATAGTTTAAACAACGAATGTGCAATGTTTATTAGTGAATTAAGTTCATACCTGCTGCTTCCCCCCTACCCCCAAGGAACTTCTACCCTTCTGAAGAATATAAGTGAAGAGATTATTTACCAAGAGAAGCAAAACAATGGACCAATAAACTCCTGTGTTTCTCTCTTTTTCTAAGATAGGTTCTTTCTTTGTCGCCCAGATTTGTTTGTCTGAAATGCATAATACTCTTGCTTCAGCCTCTCAAGTGTTGATATTGCAGACAGATATAGGGTACTAGGTCCTGCTCACAAGAAGTTCTTTTCAAAGGATATCTGGGACACAGGAATAGAACAGCAGGAAGGTCAGGTATTCTCTATTACTGTAGATTTCAGAAACATTTTGAGATCCAGTCTGTGCTGAGTTGTGGACTTGTGATGAAACAGCAGTAGTTTCCTCAGTAAGAGAGTTATGAAGACAGTTAACAACATGGAGAGACTCCCCAAGAGATCTACTAAGAGTGGTTGGTTGGGTTTTGTTTGTTTTTGTTTTTGTCT